AAATAGGCTATTACCCTGAGATGTCTTCAACTTTGATTCGAAAAAATCAAGTCAAAAAACTCAAATTTAGGAGAACTAACGACAAAGACCTAAATTTAAGAAAACAACGATAAGACTCAAAAAGGAGCCAGCTAACACTGGAAAACTAATGTACGGCTCAATAATAACTTTGTGCCATCGATCGATCTCCAATATTGAATGATTTTGAATTTTACATTTTTTAAAAATTTTATATCTAATTTTTTAAATTGATTCATCACATTTTACATAACTGACCAAGTCTGAGATGCTCACTAGAAACTTTGTATCTATGTGAATATAGGATCAGGTACGAAAGCTCTATTCGTCATTAGGCAAAAAAAATATTTTGTTCGTTAGTTTATGTTTTTTAGACTCCATTCCAGACTAAAGGAGGTTTTCTTTAGAGGGTGCAGCATCAAGAAGGTCAAGAAACAATTATACAATAATTAAGACGGTCATGATACCATAACAAGGAATTTGCCGAGTTTCAAAGAAAGTTAAACAGGAATTTTGTTGTAGAAGACTCTAGGATCGTGGGTGAACAGATTTAAAAATGGCTAATTGTCATATCGAATAGCTTATTATCTTCTGCAGTGAAAAATGCATAACCATGGATATCGAACTCACCGTGTATCAGGTGGGATTTCCTTTTCGTCTTCGGTCAAACACTTCTCCAATGGATAAGCTCTGCCCATATTGTCTTTGCATGTAACCTCACGAGTTTCTTCGGTATCGTTACATTTGGAGCACTGAAGTTAACGCATTCATGCTGGACATGCCAGAAGGAAAAATTTCCTTACCAATTTCCAATCACTAGTGTAGAACTTTAGTCCTTCACAAGGTCCAAGATTGCAGCTTCTCTGTGATTCGATGTTTTGTGCAGGATCGCAAGCCTAAAACAGAGAGATTTAAGTGTTTATACTATTTTGGACAGATCCCAATGACAAGTTAGAAAATTGTTCCACGTACATCTGCAGGAAGCAGTTTTCCTTCCTCTCCTTCCTTTTCTGAGCGGCAAGTCACTGATCGGTACTGGAAAGCATCTCCACATTTCTCTGAACACGCTGACCATGGGCCTGCTTGCCATTCCGGGCAAGAGAATCTAAATAAACAGGAAATATAGAAAGCTGCAAAGATAATATACGGATTGTAAGAAGGAGCAGCTATTTACTCCCAATGAATGAGCAATAAATAGTCCACTATCCATGGATAAATGTTAGACAATATTCTCGTTGAGCGTAACAGCATCAATTACTTTCAGGTTTTGAAAAAAAGGTTTTTGGCTATTTTTAGATTGTAAAGACCTAACCTAGATATAAAAAATCGCACAAAAAACAACTTCTCCTTTTTTGACAAAGACCTCTCCCTTATTTCCAAAAAAGTGGCACCGCCTTTATGAAGCGTTGCGGCAGCGTAGCGCACAATTTTTTATAATAGCAATTCATGCTTACGTCGTTCAGTTTCATTATTCGATTCTAACATCTAACCTTGAGCTTTGGTAAGATTTCAGAGATTGATGACTAAATTTTTCAAAAATTTTCAAAACGCAAACAACAGAGAAAACTTAAAATTTGTTTAGCACCATTTATTATTGATTCTTGTGTTTTGCTAATCTTACGCACTATTTAATTGTAAAATTTTATTTTCTCAATTTTTTTAAAATAAAATTACTATTTAAGTTTATTTTTATTCTTTTACCCTTTCAATTCCCACATTGTGATATGCTTCCTATGTCGCCACTCCGCTTAGTTCAACGTGTCTTTACACAGTTGCCCGTGTCTACGCGTGTTACAACAAAACATTTGCAACA